TCCGATTTTTATTTTTTTTCAATTTGTAGCCAATTGTTAGCTCTACAATTTGTATAAAAAAAAATATTTTTTAAGGCATAATACGTTCTGTTTAAAAAATCTAAAATATTTTTTATAAAAATTGTAAAGAAGTATTTCTCTATAACACCCTTAAAATCGGGTAAAAGATTGGAATGTTTAAAATAAAAATAATTTTTTTATTTTTTTTATATAAAACTGTACACAAATCTAGTTTTATTCTCAAAATATAATTATTTTATTTTGCCCATAGAAAGTTTATACCTACTGTTGCTATTTATTACTAAATGGGTTTTGTCCATATTATTATTTTCTTGGAAAACTCATTACTGAATTTAAAATCATCCTTTATTTGGAGACTATCAAAATCAAGTATTGGATATTAGAGTAGGTATAAAGAGACAAAAGATTTATTTTAACTGCCTGTAAATAATTTATTTCAAAAAGGCCAAGGTAATTTAGAAAGTTATAAGTAGATTCAATTGATTTTAATTCTAAATCAACTTTTCCTAATTTTTTTCATAGAACTAATAATAAACAACTTTGTATATCTATATTCATTTTAGAATTGTAAAAAAGTATCAATTTCTTGCAATTTAATTAATATTTATCCTGATATATCTTTTCATTACACCCTGTAAAACAACTCGTACCTGATTTTAGTAATAATTCAAATTAAAAAATTAAATTAAATTCAAAACACACCACATCCTTACCAAAATGAATTTCTTGAGTACGGATCTTCCCATTGGTAACATAATTATCAAAATGCGGGCCTGATTTCTATAATTCGAACATGGCCGCCGGTGACTTAGCGAGATCAATCGTGCCGACACCGAGTTTGTTCTCTGTACTTACATCCTCTGTGCTATTGTTAATAGATTGGCGTTCCATTTTAAATATACAGTTCACCGGGAATAGATTATTTAAATATACACGGACCGGGAAAACAAGTACGAAAAAATTCACTGGCTCCTGGACTAGTACTGTATCGAAGGAATTTTTATGAATGAAACAATATACGACCCTCCACAATTGCTGTCTACTCAACTTCCGCTGTTGTCAGACATTTTTTTTTTTTTGACAATTTAAAGACCTAACAGTAATTCAAGCAAACGCAATAACATTACTACAGTTAAAAACATCGCAAACTTGGCATCAATATTTTAATTTTATCCAAATATTGCATTTCTGTCGAGGATCATCCGCGTTGACTTCAGAAATTGTGTAATCTGTATTGGTTATATTTATATATATATATATATATATATATATATATATATAGTTAAAAGCACGTAAACTTGGCATCAATGTTCAATCCGATTATTGAGTTTCTACCGCGGACACCACCGTTCATTCTTCAAAAATTTTGTAAATAATCCTATCTGTCTTATGTTATGTTGATAATGGGGTGTTAATACACTGCGACCTAAAAGATCTATTGTGCCCCCTCCTGTCGCCACTGCACTAAGGAAATGTCTCAATGCCTATAGCGACCCTTCCAATCCTATTTTCTCAAGGAAGTGTAGGATTTGAAGTGGCTTCAAGTTAGGTAAGTCTCCCTCTTCTATTTGATATCCTCCTAGATATAGTGCCCTTGGATTCTGGAGTGCTACACATTCAGTTAGGATGTGAATGGAGGTTTCGTCCAGAATCTGCACTCACTATCCTCTACTACTCTCAGTTTACTTAGGTGTCCGTAAACTTGGCATCAATGTTCAATCCGATTATTGAGTTTCTACCGCGGACACCACCGTTCATTCTTCAAAAATTTTGTAAATAATCCTATCTGTCTTGGTTATATATCTATGCTAACTCCCGTTCCGTATAGGTATTAAAGATAACCCATATTGTGGGTGTGGCCAAGTTGGCTCACTAAATTGCTTTCAATTTTAAATTCGTTTTTCCCGGCAGAATTCATCACAAAATCGTAATTATAAAATGTTTCCAATATATTTTAGTGTTTTTGTTAATTTTATCAACATCAACCGTTCCTAATTTTAGGTTTCCAAACCAAATTTCCATTGCTTCAAAGTTTGTAGGAAACCTGCGTAAAAAATTACTAATAATATTCTATAATATAGGTGTACCGCCCATGTTTTTTAGTTACTTACCTTCGAAACGACGTGAAACATCTCCAAATGTATATTTTAGGGCTAATAAACACTGAATAATAATTTTTAGACTTACAACTAACAAAATTCACTAAAAAAAATCTAGAAACTATAAAAACTTTAAAAATATGTCCTGGGAATATAAAATCAAACAAAATGTACAAATAAAACTGACAGTTCTCTATACTCTGTTCTTAAACTAGGAGGAGCGAATTGAAAAGACGCATTTACACAGGGAAAAGTAACTAGATTTGTTACTAACAGCGAGTTTCGAAATATAGTCGTGTTCAAAATTTATGAAATAATTATCTTTATCGGCCTTAATCGGTGAACGGCCAATGAGCGGTTAAGAAACGAATAAATGTCATAGAAGTAATTTTTTAATTGGTCCCAGACAACGGTCGCAAATTTCACATTATTGTGATCTGAAATGTGTGTCTAAAACGAAATGTCACTGTCAAATTAAAGTCAATTTGGTTGTTGATTGATGTCAGAAATACTTTTTTCTTGCTTTTAAAATCGACTTTTTGAGAATAACTATGATCTTTTTAAAATTGATATTAAATATTTAAGAAAATTGTTAATGGAATATCCAGATGTAGCCAGGTTAGTATAAAATATAAAGATCTGTTTACATTTTTAAGGATATATTTGTTATAGGTATAAAAAGTAAAAGTTAATCAGTGAATGACAAGTGGATCACACAGTAACTGGTATCTCTTCTATGAGTAATGTGGATATTATGGCTTATTTAGTGATAACCCATGGTTAATGCGCTAGAAGGCAAATAAGGGCATTCAAAAGTTTACAGGCCTATGAGTCAGAATTTGTTTTGAAAACTGGAACCAACATTTTCATAACACTACATGTCAACATATATTTCTTAAAGTGAACTGTTCATACATACCTATGTATTAATTTTAAGTATTTTTAAAATATTTTTTGTGAAAGTAATGTTAACTCATTGTGCCAAATTAAGATTATCCCTAAAGTAGTAGATGGTGTTTTAAATGTTATAACAATTTTGTAAATAGTTTTATTTTATTCTAATAAATAAAATTTGCTTGAATATTTAGTTACATTTTAATCATTTTGGTTAGAAATTCATCAATTTTTAGTTTTAAAAAATCAGTAATAAAATAATGTTTTTCTAAAATACTTCGGAATTCATCTCTTCATAGTAATCTCCCATCTTTTTACCTTCAAAAACCAATATTGCATTTTCTACAAAACCTTCAGAATCAGCATGTAAAATAATAAGGTGTCTTCCCTTTCTTGTAAGGCTTTTCAGGAATTGCTACCTTTAATAGTACTCAATGTAGAAGGATCCATAATTGTAGATTTTCAATAGAATTGCTTACTGAAGAACTATTATTTACGAAATAAAGTAAAAAACTAAGTAATGGATGATATATCAAATTATAAAATGTCAGAACTGTCAACAATATCAATTATTAGCTGATGTTCATGCTAAAAAGTAATTTTTCTACACCCGTATTATAATAATGCACTTATATGCCCATAATCCGTTTCATAATGATAGCCATTATGATACAGATTTTTCATTACGATACAGATTTTTAATCAATAGAAACCTACAATTTTTCAATCAAGCATGCTGTTTGACGTTTGTCCTAGGTTCCTTTGTAATTGTATTAGTTGTCAAAACGTATTAAATTTTCGTAGATAGCTAAACTTCGATAATTATAATATTAAAATGTCGGATATCAGCGATATAGAAGACTCCTCCACACATATCGGAGAAAGCAGACAATAAAGTACAAAATATTTTGGCGCAAAAATCTAGGGAAATACCAATACCCGAAGTAATACCATTAATTACAATTTTATAGAATTTTTTATAAAAATACGAGTAATTACTGTTATTGTGTTCAATACCAATATAAATATAATATTTATAGGTCTTGATTATTTAACGGGTGTAGAAAAAATAGCATATGCAACTCTCATGTAATGGTTATTAAAACACTCGCATAAACCATACGAAACTCGCCTTTGGCTCGTTTCGTATCCCGGTTAATGCTCGTGTATTAATAACCATCATTACATGATCGTTGCATAATATACTAGTGTGAAAGTGACTGTAATCTGACCAATCAGAAGGCTACAGAATTGCCAACTTAAATTCAAATCGCTCCTCTTAGTTTAAAAACAGAGTATAGTGCTTGTTGACAGTTATGAGAAAATTTTGGCGCTACTATTTAAAATGGACGAATCACATTAAAAATCAAGGAGAAAGGAAGAGTAATAGAAAAAACGGTTCATACTGGCTCACATACTTTGATTTTGTACTGGCTTCAAACGGATCCAAACCGTTAGTTATCTACTATTCATTTATTTATCTAAATAAGAGAATTATAGTAAGCAGTTTTTGACATATCAAATCATAGAATCAAAAACATTCAATATATAATTATTATGAATTTAACATTTTGTTCAACTAGAAAATTGGCGACGTCATGAATTTGTTTTTGGAAAAATTGCACTATGCTGGAGGTGGTGAAGATTCTGAAAAATCAAAATTAAAAATAAGGGTAGGTATCGTGTTTTCATTGATTTGAAAAGAATGGTCAAGAGAAGAAGGGAATTATTAGGATTTTCATAGGGGAAGTATCATGTCAGGGACTTAGGAAAGAACAGACAAATTTTGTAGAATAAGTATACATAATTAAGACTCAAATTATTCTTGATTTCGAAAAAAATTCCGGGATTAATTTAGACACTAGTGGTATTATAAATGCAAATTTGATAAAATAATCGAGGTGACTTTAATTTGAGACACTCAGTACACTTTCACTACTGTCAAAGTAGTGCCGACTGACTTGGAATTCTCAACAGTACCGTGAAGCTTGGGAGGTCAAGGTAAGGAAGACCGTAGGTAACTATATTTAATTGGTATTTGTCTTCTTTGATTTTACCCCACCTTTCTATATATACGGAAGATGATCCGTTTTAATGTCAGTTTGTAATCGAAAGTGGTTTTCTTAAGCGGTAAATAGTGCGAATTAAATTTTTGTTAATTAAAATATAAAAGGTAAACAAACATTTATTATAATGTATTCGGTATCTATAGATTTTTCATTAAATCGTCATTTAAAATTTAAAATTTTATGTAATCCCTCAAAAATTTGAAGAAAATATGAAAATTTATTTTTATATATATTTTTTTGAAAAGGGGTGAATTTTTTAGACTTTAGTAAGCCGTTTGACTGTGTTAATCGTGACAGTTTATTATCCAAATTAAATTCCTAGCCTTCCAAAAAAATGGATTATTATCACTTATCTACTGATAGAAAGCAATACGTTAACTTAAAATATAAAGTTGATGAAGGTTGTAATAGTAATATACCATTTAAATTGTTGAACGTATCAATCGTATCCCACATGGATCTATTTTGGGACCAATATTTTTTCTCGGATATATTGGATACATTGCAAAACGATTTGTAAAATGTCTACATGAAATGCATTTATCCATCTATCTAATTATTTGCTGTTTTTTCTGTTATAAAATAAATATTGAATACTTCAATTATATTTTTATAAAACTATTGTGTAAGTAATTGATGTTATATCTATAAATGAACATTTAAAACGCAAGATACTAATTAATTAAAATGACCATAATATTGTTATTATTTTTAAAAATTTATTTTTATCATTAAAATGCATTTTGGTTTTGTTTTTATTTTTAATTAAGTGTAGGTACATACCCTTAAAAAAAATAAATATGATAATTGCACCATATGTATTTTTTTTTATTTATTTATTTTTATTTTATTTTTCACAATATTCAACGGGAGGGGTAGAAAATATAGAAAATAAATTAAATAAAAAGTAAAAAAGAGAAAATTAACAATATGCATACAATTGTTGTTTCATCTGCTATAAAATCAATTTTGAACACTTCAGTTACATTTTTATAAAACTATTGGCATTTTGTTTTAAAAATTGAGTAAGTTCTTGATGTTATATCTATCAATGAACATTTAAAATGTGAGATTCTAATTAATTAAAATAGCAATAATGGTATTATTATTTTTATCATTAAAATGCATTTTGGTTTTTTTAAATGAGTGTAAAAAAAATATTATGATAATTGTACCATTTGTACCAATTTTAAGTCAATTTTTGAATTTGATTAGTCTGGTAACATTTTTTTTTATTTTTTAAATATCTTTTTTATTTATTTTTTTATTTTTTTTATTTTTTTTTCGCAATATTTAACGGGAGAGGTGGAAATACAGAAAATAAAATAAATACAAAGTTATAGAAAAAAATTAACAATTTACAACTAATTGTTGTTTTTTCTGTTATAAAATCAATTTTGAACACTTCAGTTACATTTTTATAAAACTATTGGCATTTTGTTTTAAAAATTGAGTAAGTTCTTGATGTTATATCTATCAATGAACATCCAAAATGTGAGATACTAATTAATTAAAATGACCATAATATTGTTATTTTTAAAAACTTATTGTTATCATTAAAATGCATTTTTTTTATTTTTAAATGAGTGTTGGTACCCTTAAAAAATAAATACGATAATTGTACCATTTATACCAATTTTAAGTCATTTTTTGAATTTGATTAGTCTGGTAACATTTTTTTATTTATTTTTTTATTTATTTTTTTATCTATTTTTTTTTTATTTTTTTTTTTTTGTTTATTTTTATTTTTTTTTTATAATATTCAATGGGAGAGGTAGGAAATATAAAAAATAAAATAAATACAAAGTAAAAACAAAAAATTAACAATATACAAATAAATAAATAAATTTTGAATACTTCAATTAAATTTTTATAAAACTATAGACATTTTGTTTTAAAAATTGAGTAAGTACTTGATGTTATATCTGCCAATAAAAATTTAAAAAGTATGATATTAATTAATTAAAATGACCATATTGTTATTATTTTTAAAAATTTGTTTCTATCATTAAAATTAATTTTGGTTTTTATTTTATTTTCAAATGAGTGTAGAGAATAGTAATTCGAGAGACGCTAAAATTGTGGTTCCCACCTTATCGAGACTGAGGTCCACAAGGGTAAACTCGTAGCGCAATAAAAACGAGAAATGATTTAACTTGGAACGAAAGACCAAAAGCCGATAGTAGTATTAGGACTTTGAATTTTTTGGTTTGTGAAGCATTGGCATTAATTAGGTTAAACCATGTGATAATTTTCACAAGCCTTGGTTTTTAAAACTATTCTATATTGCCTTTTGATTGGGGTTTACAAACTTGTTTGAGCAATTTATCCAATAAAAATTGGCCCCTTTACCTCTTAAGCCTGCTCATATAAAATATTTGGGCTCCTTACTTCGCCTATTTATAGGTATAATATTAATAAAGGACAGAAGGAGTATTGCAATTATGTTAAAAAAAATAAATTGGCTTTCAGTTCAGAATTATGTTCAGTACATGACTGATATTTATTTATAAAATAAAAATGACAGTACCATCGCATCAGATCTATTAGAAAAAATTCAATATAATTCGCAATATCACAACTATAATACAAGAAGCCAATCTGACTTTCATGTACGGCAAGCCATCACTAAAAGTTCCCAAAATACAATTTTTATTAAAGAAAATTTAATAGACTGCCTACAGAAATTAAAAAATAACAACAATGTATTCAAAAGTAACCTCAAACAATACTTGATAAATAAACAGAACGGATATACTTTCTTGTGATAATACCTGTCCTTTTTAAGTATTTCCCTTAATTTATTGTTATTTTACCTCTCGTTTTACCCGCATTTATTATAAATTATTTCTGTTTTGAATTCATTTACTTTATTACTTGATGTTATATTAATACTACTATGTTTAAATTATTAATAGTTTTGCGACGATAGGTTATAGCAAGTTATAGCCACAAAACTATTTTTGTGTTAAAGTAGATCCATAGAGAGCAATGTAATTTACAAAGGCCTTCTTTCAACATAAAAATAAATAACAACTTTATAATTAAAATAAAAAATACAACAAAATACCTCGGTACCAAGGTAAGAAGATTCATTTTTAAATTTTATTTATTAAGAAAATTTATGACTAGAAGTTTACTAGTTATTATTTACAATTCGCTGGTTGAATATGTAATCCAAAATCGTATAATAAAAATAATCTACAAAAAACCAGCATTATATCCTACCTCTCTTTCATATAATAAGAAAGTGCTTTGTATAAGAACATTGTATTATCTGTCTTGTTGTACCTTTATTTATGGAAAGCCTGAATTGAGATACACTGCAAATTATTTGCAATAAATATCAAAAGAAGTATACATTTTTAAATAATTTGACATTTAATAGCCATTCACACATCACAGTTGACATCTTGATACTTGACAGGCACAGCCAAGCATTATTCTGATTTATGCCAAATAAAATGACCGGTTAATTATTCTATGGGGTTGCGACAGAGAGCCAGTAAATTTGATGAAGTTGTTTTTGTGGCTAGGGTAAAATAGTAGTACGCTTAAGTTAGCACCACCATAAAAAAAGTCATTTTTAAGAAATTGCTTATATATTTTTCATAAATTGGCAGGCTTGGCTACTAATTTCGAATAAAAATAGCGTCCAAAATGGCTATTGTTGCAAGTATGAAGGTCGCAACCCGCCTTAAAAATTTCACCTTTACTATCAACAGCTGTTGTTTGACAGGTCGTTAGAGAATGTTTGCAATTTATGGAATTTTAAGAATGTTAGGAATGTTGACGTTTAAAATAATTGGAATTCCTAAAATTGTCACATAAGAAAAGCATATGCGGATTTTAAGAAAATTGATATTAAAGTAGTTAGGATGAACCGAAAATTCTGAAAATCAATATGGTTCTAAGTTAGAAGTAATTATTCAAGAAAACCAAAACCGCAACTTTCGTTTTAGAGTAATCCCCCCCCCCCCCCCCCATAGGAAGGGCCTCAGTAATTTTTTTAATAAAAAAAATTTATTGCAGGATATTTGATTAAAGAAATTCTGACAACATAACATAGGAAGAGCATACTACCAGAAAGTTGTTGCAGATAAATTTAATGTACAGTTCATCAAATTTCTAGAGGTGTTCGACGCCCAGACAGAGAACGCGCTACGTGTGACTAAGATAGTTATTGTACAGTCTGCTAAACAAGTTATTTTAAATAGTTTTTAATATTTTTAGGTAATTAAATTTTAAAAGTGTGGAATAGTTTAGGGATTAAATTGGTCTGATTGGACTTACTTAGAACGTTTTTAAAAGCAGCTAAAGATAGTATGTAGAATTGAAAATAATTATTATGCCATAAAAGGCGTTTTGGAATTCCTTCAACCTTTTGAAATTGAGTCAGAAAATATAAATTTTATAGGATAGCGGAAAATACCTATAATTTTTTTGTAGGCCTTTGTAAATCGTGGAAATAGTTTATATTTTATTTCTACCTTATTAAGGAAAATGGTACCTATTATTAATAACGGTTGTTTCTGAAACATTACTAAAATTTTCAAAATTTTGTTTTTCTACAAAATAATAAACTATACTATTTAGAAAAAAATTTATTTCTCTTATAATTTTATAAAAAATAACAGGGGAATATTTACATTTCTTGATCTATTAAACAAAACGATAAATTATCTCGACGAATGACACCATGTTCTAGTACGGAAGCTAGCTTTACATTTTTGTTGGTGGTTTCATGGGTTTCATATCAATTTTTTGTAATTGTAGTTTACACGTACATATACCTCTTAACACTTGTTTGCTTTATTAAAAAAGTGTGTTATTGTGATTTACGTCGAAATAAGTCAAAAACAACTTGAAACCCCATATAAAATCAAAAAGGAGAAACGGAAAAAAATTGAGCCAGTAAATGAACACAACTCAGAAACAAAAATAGCTATCTAATAATAAAAAAATAAAATTTGATTCTTGTGCAGCTTCATTTATATCATTAACTGTTTTTGGTTTTTTAATGGTTTTTCTTGGTGATGAAAATTCCGATATCTCACGGTTATCGATTCTTTTTTTCTCTCCAGAAATGCGGACGACAGTGTTT